GTTAGAAAATACATGTCTGGAAAGAAGGGCAGCCAAGCATGTCCGCATTGGGGGGGGGCGGTCCATTCTTCGACAACTACCTTACTCTGTACATCAGGGAGGCATTGCAAGTAGCATTGGAAGAATATCATGGCATTTTCTGCCAACTCCAGATCTCGGTTTAGGCTTATTGGTGCTCAAAAGACTCGAGGCTTTCACGTCTGAAAAAGATGTTGATGTCTTGGCGTCAGTCAGCCATGAGGTAGCCCCCTATTTTGCAGTCAAGTGGAAACAGCGTCCAGCCATGAACGTTGCGAAGCACAATTCCTGTCGGCCTTTCAAACATCCATCTGTCAGGTTACTCAATGAGTTCCTCTAGAACAGAATTCTGACAGGACTCGGTTCGGACTGTATGCACAAAAACGCATGGTCAACTACATGGACCAATGTTTTAGCAGTCCCTCGACCGCATGCGCCAACGACGTGTCCCTCCTCGGAGATCCTACTCCCCATCTTTGTTTGACTTGATGGCCTGCAGGATATGTCAGATCGAGGCTACAGAAAAAATTAAATTGGAGATCATACCTTCTGCTCCGGCACATAGTCGAAGTGACCGCCCATGTTCAGCAACCAAACGTTGCCAGGGTGCGAGGGAACATTCTGCCGCCAAAGGAAGTTATGTGGGAAACCAATGTCGAACGGCACTGCGTCATCGATTTCTCGGATGTCATCGTCAGTAAGGTCGAGCGCCAGTGCCTCAATATTAGATTTCAGATGGTCGATGGTGCGGCCGCCAATAATGGGGAAGACGTAGGGCGTCTTGTGCATGACGTACGCCAGGGCGACGCTCGTGATGATGGTGTTCTTTCGCTTAGCGATCTTCTCCAGCGCCTGGCTGGTCTTGATTTGCGCCTCGCTGGCCTCGGTCTTGCGGCCCTCCTGAGACTTGCGCTGCTCCTCCGTCTTGAAGGTGCCGCCGCCAAGGGCGCCCCAGGGGGCGAGGCCCATGCCCTCTGCCTTGGTCATGGGAATGATCTCGCGCTCAAAATCGCGCGAAGCAGCGGACCAGCGGCCCTGGTAGACAGAGAATTGGCGCAGACCGTGGTTGCGGGCGTACTCGTTCGCTTTGCTTCGTGTCTATCAGTGGGGAAATCTTATGTCGTGAGAAGGACTGTTGGCATACCTAACCACCCACGCCGGGGTGTCACTGATTCCGAGGTAGAGCACCTTGCCGGAGAGCACGAGCGCGTTCAGGCTCTGCATCATCTCGGGGATTGACGTGGAGTAGTCCCACCAGTGGACGTAGAGCAGGTCAATGTAGTCGGTCTGTAGCTTTCGCAAGCTGGCCTCGACAGAGGTGTGAAGACTCTTTGTGCCGTTGCCGGTGAAGTTGGCCATAATATTGGGCGCATTGGGGCCCGCAGCATAGTTGGTCGTGTACTTGGTTGCGATCACTGACGGAGAATTAGGCCTGACTCGAACATATTCGGGCTCAACAACAACACATACCCATCTGATCTCGGACATTTCTCTTCTTCATCCATTCTCCAATCCAGGTCTCTGACTCCTCGAACTGGTAGTTGTTCGCGGTGTCGATGAAGTTGCCGCCCTTGACACCGTCAGCAAATGCAGAAGAAAGCAGGAAAGTTCGGCCATCTACCTGACTGTAGAAATAATCAAGGATGTTCTCAACTGTGACCTGATCGCAGCTTCCCATCCAGCCCGTCCAGGCGTCGCCAAAGTTCATGGAGCCCAGACACAAAGGGCTCACTCGAACGGAAGCAGTGGGTGAGAGAATCCTGTAGCGAGCAAGCGCGCTCTTGGGAGGCGGGGCCATGGGAAGTGCCGACATTGTCGCAATTGTTCAGATACAAGGGGTCAGGGTAGGTGTACTTTGATTGCGAAATAGCTACTGTTTAGGGTTCCAGGGAGTAGAGCGTTTTCGGAAGTCTGGATCGAATAAGGTATAAGAGTAGAGGGGAGAGGGAGTAAGTTGGAAGATCCCAGGGAAGGTTAGGTGCAAGCTTTATAGTCAGAAGTTGCCTCGGGACCAGACAAACGGCAACTACGATGCCGATGGGGAATGGTGAACCAAGACACTCAACCTCAAGGAGGGGCATGCAACAAGGCAGATCCCAAGTTACCCACCGTGCCTACCTACCTACCTAGGTACCTAAGGTACCTACCCTAGGTAGGTATGTAGATATGAGTATTGAGATGCCATTGAACTCCTTACCTCTGATCCTCTAAGCCTTCGCCCCAAGCCCCAGTTAAGCTGCCGATGTAGCTGTAGGAATGATCTCATTAGGTACTGGTAGCTGCCCCCCTTTCAAGGTGCGACTCTCAGTACAAGAGCAGCGCACCGCTTAGAAATCTACAAAGTATAAATATGTATGCACCATCCAGACCAGTCTCGTTGTTTGGCCTAATACCGGACTAAACTCCGATCTTGCTGCTTCCTACATGGGTGCCCAAGGCACCTTGATGAAGCAGATGAATGGCGGGGTGAGTGATGCGGGGTGGTTCGGCTGTCAATCCGGCTGTCAATGACGCTTCAACAGAATGTAGGTACCTAAGGTTTGGTCTAGGTACTTTTGCCGTAAATGATGCGGCATAGTACCCGGAAGTGGAGTGGAGCTACATTACCCACTTAATGAAGGAAGCGACGATACTACGTATTCTCAAGGTTGATTCAGCAATCGAGCTGAGGCGGCGCCCTGATGCATCTGGCCTACAGCGAAGCTCTACGGAACCTCCCCCAGCTTCATTCAGATTTGGCACCCTATCAAAGGACACACACACACACACACGTAGTCACGTATGGGACCATCGAGAGATATACATGTTCCTCAGTTCAGTAGAATGTAGCAGGCTTTCATTTCCTTTCGAAAATGAAGTACTTACCATGACAGATGCCCTGAGCGTGGTCGAGGCAGGTCGTGATTTGATGGGCAGTGAGCGAACCTCCAACTGATTATGAAGGTCTTGACGGCATATAATAGAGTGCTGCAACGGCATGGCAAGTTATATGACCGTTTTACGAGTTCATACTTGCTGCACAAAAGACTAGGGATTCCTCCTTTCTGTGCCGTACGTACGTTGCGAAGTGAATTGTCGGAGTTAGCAACGGGGTCGGCCTGTGAAAGTAAAGTACTATCTGCTGACTATGATTCACTTACTCTTCTGTGTTTTAAGGCAATAAACTGGACAATCTCTCTTGAATAGTCCTGCTATTATCGAAACACTTTGCAGCCAGCAGAAGCCCGCCACCCGCGAAGGGGGGGCGGGATGCACCACTTCTTCAAGCCAACCAGGATTCCGAACCAATACCGGCACGGACCACCACCCGATGACTAAGAACTCCATACTCCAAATTCCATCGACGGGTCTTGCAAAACGTACGATGGCCATCACAGCGATGCCGTAAACCCTTCTGACATTGGACAATTGCAATCACCATCCCACTCAATCGCTACCGACTCTCGTCCCTGCTTGCAAGAGATGACCCGATAATCAGACACTGCCGACATGGCACATGACGACCCTTCACCATGTCGTCTCCTGCCCCCATCCCATCGAAAGCTGCCATCCATGCCCTTCGCGGGCTGCTCTTCGGCACATCTTGCTCAATTGTACTGCTCGCAGAAGAGAGACGGCGAAGAATAAGCATAGCTCGAGCGGCGGTCGAGAACGGGAGGAAGCTCAAGTCACTAAGATGCTACACCACGGCCGGCAGTTCAGCCCTCGAAGCATTGCAAGAAGACGGCACGTCAGACTCGATATTCATCAATCGGTCTTTCTACTCGAGGACCGACCCTTACGCTAGAAATTTCGGCTTTTCTGAGCCAGAATGGGCCGCACGACAACAAAAAGACACCGACGATCTCGGACCCGATCCCCGCCACCGACACTCAGGTCGAAGACGAGACTCAAACACATCACCGCCCTCCAACGCATCGAACCATCAGGAAGAAACATTATCGAGCAGATCCTCTGGCGCCGGTCTGGAGCCTTCACGCCTGGCATTGAGGTCCAGGGTCGATTCGATATTGATTCAACCAGGCCCGTCACGATTACCTGCGGCTGGGGCACCGAACGGCCCCAAGTCTATAATGCTTGCGCTCGAAGAGTTCTGGTCCCGAGCAGCTGATGGCCTACCTTCAGACTCTTCTTTGCGAAAACTTCAGAATGAGCCCCGGCATAGCGAACCTACAACGACCGCTGCGATGGAACTGGTTCGCCGAGCATATGCCTCGGTTGCAGACGCTGAGTGGCTTCCTCTGTGGCTTCTTCAACTTTGTCAACTCTTGTCGGTAGCGTGTCTACACGAGGGCGACAGCTTGACAGCTGGCAGAATTTTGGTCATGGTGACAAACCATGGGCCTGTTGCGAACGAGTACTTCCTCGCACACCAGCCGTTCCAACTCGTCGAGGCTCTGTTATCAAACCCCACTACAGGAGCCTCAGCTGATGGTCAGCCACCCGAAAGCTTACAGCTTGCGGCCGAAATTTTACTTGCCGAGATTTCGGACGACGTTGGATGTCGAGCCCAGCACGCCACGTTGGCCAGCAGAATTGTCAACCAGCTCTTGTCAACTGGCCATGTTGAAGCGGCAACAGAGGTTTTCAACAAGTCTAGGCAGGTTTGTCGCCTTGGGACAGCCAGTACCGTGAGGTTCATGGGACGCCTCCGTCGTGGTGACTGGCATGCCGAAGCGATCGACACCTTTGTAGGCCTGCGCACAGCGCATCTCGACAACACATCAGATCTTCAGAAGCTTTGCGATAGAATCCTTCACTCGGTTCTGCAAACAAAAGGATACGGCGCTGCCGAAGTGCTACGGACATGGCAGTGGTTACACGATAACGCCGGCGTGAGGATTCTACCCAGCTGGCCCGTTAGAGTTCTGCGCGCACATTGGCGTGGGTCGCAAAAGTACCGAGAATCCCGCGAGATTTATCAAGAATTGCGAGACAAGGAGTTCTGTGGGATCCAAGACACCTACAGCATACGATCAACAATGATCCAGATTGCGCTTGAAGCGGATGACGCGGTGCAAGCCAGTGTCTTGTTCGCAGAACTCCTCGCTCTATCTCACAAGGCCGGAACCGATGTCGAGCTGGCCTGTGCCTTTGCGAAACACGATGCGATGAAGTCCAAGTGGGACCGTGTCAAGTCCAGATTCGAGAAGGTCAATAACAGGGGCCCGCTCACCAAAGACGAGCAACAGGCATACGACGCCGGTTTTGGTGCCGTCCTGTCAGAGTACGCCAAGAGCCACACATGGGGCGAAACGGAGGAGTTTGTGGAAGAATACACACAAAAGCTCAGAGTGTCGCTCGATAATACTCTCGTCAACTTCATCGCGGACAAGCACGGAAGATGTCGCGAGTTCAAGGCGTTGGACCAGTGGCTCAGCTATTGCAAAGACGCCGGCTTCGTCACGACGGCTGCATTCTGGAAGTCCATGCTAGTCAAGTGCAAGAAGCAATGGGGCTATGGCGAGGTTGAGGCAGCGTCTCTTTTCAAGACCTTGCAAGAGCAGGATATCGAGTCGGACTTTCCAGAGGCGGAGGCGGTGGTCAGGAGCATGATGATACCGATCCAACGGGAGTTCCCTATGAAGCGAATCCGCATCGCTACGCCAAAGCGACCTATGGACATTGGATCGACATTCGAACGAATGAAACTGGATGCCCAGAAAGGCCAGTGGAAAAGTGTTCTCAGCACCTACAACCGCGCCGTGCGCAACGGGCAGGGTTACTCGAGCGGCTGTCTTCAGCTCGCCGTGCAAGCCAGCATGAAGGTCAACGAACCATCGACGGAGCACGCCGTGTCGTTGATTAGCAAGGCGCAGAGCGATGGTCACGACATTAGCAATGCCATGGTGCCCCTCGTATTGGCGGATCTGGATGAGATCCAGGCCGTGGGCCAACAGATGAGGGACAGCAGCGAGGCCCGCGCATCGGGCCCGGCAGCGGTGCGGCCGTTCCCGGCGATCCAGCGCCTTTTTTCGGACCTTCTCGAGCAGGGTCATCAAATCGACAACTTTGTGTTCCACCGGGCGGCGCAGGTGTGCCTGGCGCTGCGCAACTACCGCGAGGTCGTGACGATCTGCGTGTTCGCGGCACAGTGCAACGGGTCACGGGACCTGGCGTACAGCGTGTGGAACTTTTCGGACCTGTGCCAGGCGTTCACGAAGCAGCACGAATACGCGCGGCTGCGGTGGCTCATGAGCGACGTTTTGGGCCGCGACTACAGGATGACGAAGCAGTGCCGAACGAGCCTCAAGTGGGTGGTGCACTACCTGAAGCGGGCGTCCCAGGCCGACAAGGACGAGGATCTCAAGGCGTCAGACCTATCGATGCTGGCCTGTGTTGAGGAGACGCTGAAGAAGGTGACCAAGGAGAAGGCTCAGTGGAAGGCGAGCGAGCGGGCCAACGTCGCACAGATCGTGGCGCGCCAGAATGAGAAACAGGCACGCACGCGCAGGACAGAGGCAGGAGGTCTTGATTATTACGCGCCGTTGCGCCGAGGACTGGACGGAAAGCCGCCACGATGGTCAGGGCGAGTCGAGGAGGAACAAGAAGACGGATCTACGGCTGTCGGCAACAAGGCCGAGGCGTAGAGACGAGGTGTACATTACTGTGCTATTTAGAGCAGCAGCGTCGGTGGCAGCATTGTATCAGTAAAGCTGTCTGCGTTAGATGTATACCCTACGTAAGGTACGCCGTTGGGCGTGAAATGTACAGCCTTTTGTGTATGCATGGGCTCGGGCAAGCTGGCATGCTGGCAAGCTCCGATCATGTTGCTGATGATGTTGAGTGTGGTTGGCTTCTGCATTACATAAGCTACCTATCAAATATGCCCGACCCATGTCTCGAGCAATGGATGGAGGACGCGGCATGTGTCGAACGATGCAAAAGCCAGGAACGCATCCATGACGAGCATGCGAGCATGTGAAGGAGGGGCCTAGTCAGGGCGCTGGGGGCGGTGAGTGGGCCACGAAAGCCAGCCGGGGGGTTTAGTGGGATCGCATAGGGGGGCTTGGGGGGAGGGCAAGGGGGGCAAGGGGGGGCCACAGGGAGGGACCCGAGATACCACAGTGGGTTACAGGGACCACACGGTAAACAGCCTCGAGGCATGGCGTAGGGGGGCAAAAGGGGGGGCAAAGGGGTCAGAAGCAGGCTCGTCATTGGCCCGATCCGCGGACGGTGGGAGCCGCCATGGCAGTGGGACGACTGTTGGCCCCTAATGGCCTGGAATGGTCCCAGATGGTCCCTGTCTTCAATTTTCTCCCGGCCGCCTGCCCACCTCATTGATCTATGAGCAGACCACTTTCCACCGCCATCCCACCCGTCGTCGGCCGACAAACAATTTAATCGTCCTATCCTCTCTTCGCATGCTCACGAACTCGATCTCCCTTGGTCTCTGTTAGCATTAATATTTGTTAGTTTCTTGCGAAAATATCTACGCCGACGCTGCTTCGACCACCCATCATCTATCTACTTGATTGGACCTTCCGCCCCCCTCTTCCAAGATCTCGAGAAGACCCCCTCGATCGTCGACAGTTCTTCTATGGCCTCAATCCAACCTCAGACCGTCACACAAGCCGCCCTCAACACACCACATTTTCCAATGAGTACCACAACAACAAGTTCAACGACAACGGCAGCGGCCGATGCTCGTGCCGAGCGCCGTGCGCAATATCATGAGGCCGACGTGGTAGTGGTTGGTGCTGGCATCTTTGGCTGTGCCGTCGCCTACGCCATGGGCCAGCAGGGCCGCAGTGTCCTGCTGCTCGAGCGCTGGATGAAGGAGCCCGACCGTATCGTTGGTGAGCTGCTGCAGCCTGGTGGTGTCGCTGCCCTGCGCAAGCTTGGCCTGGGCCACTGTCTCGAGGGCATCGACTCGATCCCCTGCTATGGTTTTGACGTCACCTTCCACGGCGAGTCCTGCAATATTCCCTTTCCATCACTCGACGAGAACGGCGACGTCGTCATCTTGCCAGGCCACGCCAATGCCAATGCCACGACGCCCGACGCCAAGAAGACACAGGGTCGCGCTTTCCACCACGGACGCTTCGTCGCCAACCTGCGCCGCGCGTGCCAGGGCCAGAAGAACATCACCGTCGTCGAGACCGAGGTGACGGGCATGATCCGTGGCGAGGAGTCGGACCAGGTGCTCGGTGTCACAGCCCGCACTGTTAACCCCTCGAGCGGCGCGAAGGAGGCCGACTACTTCTTCGGCCAGCTCACCATTATTGCCGACGGCTACGCTTCCAAGTTCCGGAAGGATCTCATCCCCCAGCAGCCCGTCGTCAAGTCCAAGTTCTACGCCCTCGAGCTCGTCGACGCCCCGCTGCCGAGCCCCCGCTTCGGCCACGTCTTCATCGGAGGAGCCTACCCTGTTCTCATGTATCAGATCGGCAGCCACGAGACGCGTGCTCTCATCGACGTCCCTGCCAACATCCCTGAGGCCGCGCCGGCCGCTGGTGGCGTCCGCGGCTACATCTCCAACTGCGTGCTGCCCTCGCTGCCGCCCCAGCTGCAGCCCTGCGTGGCGGCGGCGCTCGAGGACGGCAAGATCCCGCGCTCCATGCCCAACTCATGGCTGCCGCCCTCGCGCCAGCCGCGGACCCAGGGCGTCCTCCTCCTCGGCGACGCCATGAACATGCGTCACCCCCTGACGGGCGGCGGCATGACCGTGGCGTTCAACGACGCCGTCCTCGTCGCCGACCTCCTGCATCCGGACGTCATCCCCGACCTCGGCGACGGCGCCGCCGTCCGCCGGGCCATGGACACGTTCCACTGGCGCCGCAAGTCCCTGACCTGCATCATCAACGTCCTCGCCCAGGCCCTCTACAGCCTCTTCGCCGCCGACGACCGCCTCCTGCGCGCCCTGCAAAAGGGCTGCTTCGACTACTTCAAGCGTGGCCACGCCACCGTGCCCATGGGCCTCATGGGCGGCCTCATCCAGCGCCCTGCCATCCTCGCCTACCACTTCTTCACCGTCGCCTTTGTCGCCATCTGGATCAACGCCTGCGACCTCGTCTCCGGCCCGCTCGGCTTCCTCAAGGCCCCGCTCGCCGTCGTCGACGCCATTCTCATCCTGTGGAAGGCGAGCATGGTCTTCCTGCCGCTCATCTTCCGCGAGGCGCAATGAGGTGCCTTGGAGTGAGTACCTAGAAGAAAAACAAGAGGCGAGAGTATGGGCCAGCGGTCGCTTGACAGTTTCATGATGAGGCATGTGATATAGGGATTGCATTTGTTTTCTTGATTGGTTAGAGATACCTGGAGCTTCTGTCAGGGGGCCTTTGTACATATCCTTTTTGTTTCTCCCCCGGTGTTACCCGGGGCGGCGTCGTGGTGTGGAGTTGTTTGGCTCGGTATCATCCTGAGAGGGAAGGAGAGAGAGAGGAACATAGTATAATGTAATCAAGTCCTGCTGCCACAACACATGGCAGCAGTTACTTCAGGAGCCCATAGTCTCGTGTCACCATGCCAATGTCATCATGTCAATGTCACCATGCATGTGATTCAAGAAGGAACAACTGCAGTCGTGATTCATCATTCGGATCATGTCCGTGGGCCAGCAGGCCCGTCTACTCTGTGTACACTTTCTCTGCCTCGACACGCTATAGCGAGGGCACTACGTCAATCGGCGGCGGTAGACGCCCATCATCCAGCTGGCGCGCAGGACGGCGAGGCCGACGGCCATGCGGATGCTGTCGGCGATGAGGCTGACCTTGGAGCCGTCGACCTCGTGCCAGTCAATGGGGACCTCGGCGACCCGGATGCCGGGGCTGGTGCCGATAACAGCGCCGTCGGCACCGAGGACGGGGGCGGGGGGCGCGCTCTCGGCGAGGAGGAGCATCTCAATGTCGAAGATCCAGCCCTCGGCATGCATGTAGGGCACGACGTGGGGCAGGGCGGCGCGCGTGAAGAGCTTGAAGCCGCACTGCGTGTCGGCGAGGCGGCTCGTGGCGGGGGGCGTGAGGATAGTGAGGACGAGGTGGAAGGAGCGCATGAGGAAGTTGCGGACGAAGGAGCGCTGGACGACGGCGGCCGAGCCGACGAGGTGGGCGCGCGAGCCAATGGCCACGCCGCGGTGGGCGCCGTCGACGACCTCCTCGGCGCCTTCGATGAGCTTGCCGAGGTCGCTGAAGCGGGAGGCGCCGTCGGCGTCGGCAAAGAGGACGTACTCGCCGCGGGCGTGGCGCATTCCGTGCGTCACGGCGCCGCCCTTGCCGCGGTTGGCCGCCAGGCGAACGACGCGCAGCGTGTCGTGCAGGGCGTGCTTACGGGCAAAGGCGAGGGCGACCGAGATGGTGGCGTCGGAGGAGCCGTCGTCAATGATGAGGATCTCGTAGCCGGTGAGATTGTCGGAGGGGGCGTTCTGGACCCGACGGTGCGGGGAGGGCGTGCGCTTGGCCGAGGGGGGCGGCGAGAGGGTGGAGGTAGAGGCAGGGCGGCCAAAGTTGGCGTCGAGATAGGTCACGGCCTCTTCAAGCGCCGGCAAGATGCGTGCCTCCTCGTTGTAGGCAGGTATGACGACGGTGACGCGGACAGAGGCGGGCTCGATGGTGCCCGAGTCGGGAAGGGGTACGTTGGATGGGTCAGAGAGCTTGGTGGCCGTCTCCGAAGCCTGACGCTCAGCAAGCCAACGGTCGAACCAGCAGGGGAGTGCATGGGTGACTGTGTCGTCCGAGTCTGGGGTCGTCGTGGAGTATGTCTTTTCGGAGGGAAGAACGGCGCGGGGCTTGGGAGCGATGGCGTGCAGGAGGAGGAGGAGCTGGAGGGGTTGTCAGTGATTGTCAGTGATTGTGTGGAAACGACATTGTGGTTGTAAATAGCAGCTGAAGCTTACGGCGTGGTAGGCGACGAAGAGAAGGGCCACGAAGCCAAGGACCAGCGCCGGCCACGAGAGGTGGGTGGCAGTGTGCACGATGTCATTCATGGTTATGGTTATGGCAGTCGCGGCTGTACGTGTGGATGTGAACGAGAAGGCAGTCAAAGAAAGGACGGCTGCACGCCAAGTACAATCACTGGGTCGTCACAGCGGCCGCAACGACGACCTTGACCTTTGCAACGTTTCGGTTACAAAGGTAGTGTTGATGTTGTCGTGAGGAAGAGCTCAGAAGGCTCCAGACCCCAAAGATGGCGAACGGCAGGTGGGAGCGAAGCCTCAGACGTCAGACACGAAGACGGAAGGAACAACGTGGAGGGTCTTTCGTGGCGCCCGAGGCTGCCCAATCGACCTTGTCACTAGACGCGCTGATGCAGGTCCCCAGCGTGTCTCGCAGCCTTGCAGCTAGCACACGTCCCTCCACAGTACGTACCTCGTGCCCTGGCTTGCCTGGCTCAACACCAACAGCGCTATCGAGTACGTACCGTCTTGGGCTTGGCTCTTTCTTCACCCTAGGAATGAGAATGCTCGACCAAGACCTATCATCAACACATGTTCGCTTTCTACCGCCATTCAGATGTTCATCAAGCAGGCTGGGGAAAATTGTTGAATGAATTTATCCCTACTTGCGTTCGCACATCATCTCTAACTTACATGTCATGATATTCATCAGCATGCTTACAGACAAGCTGCATTCTCCGCCATCATTAACTTTTGATACCATCATGGCCGGCCCAGCCTGGCTCGAACATCGGCCGTCGTCACCTTCTCCCTCTCCACCTCACTGACAATACCTCCTGTTGTCTGAGGCCCCTGGTACCCCTTTCGAGCATGGATGAACCACCAGAGGCCCACCAGGATGGTGAAGCCGCCCCAGATCAACGACGCATAATTCATACTTGCTGCATCCGTTGGCAGAAAATACGGAAAGCAATAAATGACAAACCACACTGTCATGTACGCACACGCCATGCCATTCACCGCAAACCCAATCCATCCGCGCATGTGGAAAGGCCCGTACGAAACATTCTTTCGTCCCGTCACCAGGTTCGGCAGGATCGCAGCCAGATAGGAGCTGCTCGACGTCAAGATGAAACTGCCCACAAGTGCATTGAATGCCGTTGTGCTGCCCACATAAATGGCTCCGAGAATCGTCACCAGGACCGCCGTCACCAGCGTCGACCGCAGTGGCATATCCAGCCTGCCGTTGACCTCGCCCAGAAACCCTGGCACCGGCGTCGCCCCGTCGCGCGCCAGCGCCCAGAGCGTCCGTCCGCAGATCATGTACAGGCCCATGATCGTGAGCCCGATACAGATCATGATGAGCGCCAAAAGGCCTGTGGCCCCGGCCGCTGATCCGGTGGCTTGGCGGTAGATTTCAGCGATGGGATAACGTGACTCGAATAAGGCGTCGAGATCGTTGATGCCGTACATGATGGCCACGAGGTAACAAAATCCTGTTACGAAGCCGATACTCATCTGCATGCCGATAGCAATGGGCACGTTGCGGTGTGGCAAGGCAATCTCCTCCGCCAAGTGCGTTGTCGCGTCCACGGCCCCCACACTATATGCTCCGTTGAGCATGCCCGCGAGGAAAACGAAGCCGTCGGGGTACCCAATATCTGCCGACCACTCCTTCCAGACAAATGAAGATGTTGCATGCGGCGGTCTCCCACCTCGGCCAGGCATAACTGCGACGACGACGACCGTGATGAAGAAGCCGCCGAGGATAGCGAAAATGCCAAATTTGTCCAGTGCTGGCTGCGCCTTGTTGGCCGAACAAACCGCGGCACACGCGAGCCATGTCGACAGCAGGTATGCAACGAAAACGTGCCATGGCTGCACAACCACGTCTGGGTGATTCAGGGCGTACATCTGCACAACGGTGTTGCCAAAGATGGAGGACATGCTCGCCAGCCCCACGACCCAGGCGAGATAGTTCCACCAGCCGGCGAAGAAGCCGATTCCACGTCCCCAGCGCCGGCCCGGCGTGACGGATGCCCAGTGATAGACGCCCGCCGACGACGGGATGGCGCTTGCCAGCTCGGCAATGCTGGCGGCGACGGTCCAGTAACACACGGACACGGCTAGGAACTCGTACAAAACGCCAGGCGGGCCGCCGTTAAAAATCGCCACAAGGATGGATCCGCCGATGGCAGGCCAGACATTGCCGACTGTGAGGCCAACGCCAGCGAGGGCTGCCAAGCTAAAGTTGCGTGAGAGCTGTTGGACGTGTCCAGAGGCGTTTATCAGGTCGACAGAGGCCGTCGTGTTGAGGTCAACATGGTGCCCGTTTCTGGCTTCGGGCGTGGACTTCGTCTCGTCAATTTTGTCGTCAACGTCGGTCATGATCTCAATTTTCCAACATGTACTTCGTCCGCACAATTGATGGGAGAGGGGATATATCAGTGTCGAATAGCGGGGGGCTGATGCACATCTTGTATCCCCTCACGCTGCCCCCGGACCCAGGCCAAGTAGACAATGCAACGGTAGCCAACCATGTTGTCCTACCCCAAGATAACGATGCTGGCTCACTGTAGTCCAGTGTCGATCTTCGAGCCAGCCACGGTCCTGCCTGTCCGAGACTAAGGCACGAACGGCCACGCCTTGGCAAGTCGAAGCAGAAACGTCCCGTGAAAGGAGACTGTCGGGCAGAGGCCCCTTTTGAACCTGAACCCTGGATTATCTGCAGCCCCTTCCCTTGGTGGCCAAGCAGAAGAAGGATCCCCGTCATGTCCAATGAGAGCAAACGACAGCCCCGGATCTTCCATCTCATTGAATTGCCGAATTGCCCGATAGCAAGGCGAGGTGAAGTACGGACCGGACGGCCTTCGGGTGCAATTTGCCTTTCGGTCCCGGGGCCGGAGAGGGGCGGTTTGCCGGGCTTGTGCATTGTCTTATCCTCTCTCTATGCATCAGCGCCAGCACAGTCGCAGATCACGCCAGTTGGTGGTCGCCTTGCATGAGGTCCCCATCGCCACCGACTCGCATCCAATATACCTTGTAATCTATCGATATGCGCTCTTCAGCCCAGCCCCAGAGCGTGGTCCAGCCCTCTGCACTCACTGTTCTAACCTGCATGGGCCCTCGCAAGCGAACCATGAGACCCAGCCCAGGCCTGCCTCGACCGCTGGCCCTTTCTCTACTCTCTTCTTCTGCCCACATCATCCGAGATGAGGGTAGCATCGCCGACGCAGCCTGCCGCGAAACCACGCAATATCCGCCATGTTTTCATCGCCCCTTCAACTGCATCCTTCATTTAGTCATCGACCATCTCCATCAGATCTGCCGCATCGACGCCCCCCCCCTCCTTGACGCACCCTCTCCTCGTTCTTCATCTCTCTTGGCACACGCCCCCTCTCCGGGCATCTCGTTTCAGGTAGCCGCGTAACGAAAGTTCAGCCCAGGGCGTTCGCTGCCAACCAACCCCCCAGCCGCCACACGCCTTGAGTTCGGTCAGACATGCATATTGCTCCCGTCCTGCGCGAGCCAATACATGTTCTCCCCTCCACTCCTTCTGGACCGCTGACCTGCTTCTAGTCGGCTCACATCTGGGTCTGCCTGCTGTCAACATGTCAAGTGTCAGCATCGACCAAACGCATCAGTGGCCGAACCTGTCATGCTGAACTGGCGGGACGCACCCTACGGCTTGCCGACCAGGGACCAAGGGCGATAGACGGAGAAGCGTATCAGTCACAATGTTCGCTGACACGCAGCACCTCGTCCAACAGGCAAACCGTTTGAATGTTCGCGCAGCAATCTGCAAAGCAGCGCATCAATCCAAACGCATTCTCATGACGAGCATACTTGTTCTTTGTGTCACTGATTCACGGCACCGCACTCATAATTCTGGACCAGAGACATGTGCTTCCCCGAACATGACACGCGCTTTTTCTCTCTCCCCATCTACCCGCTGTGCGGCCTGAGGTAGCCAAGCTCGCCAAGGACCCATTGCGACAGAGCATCGGCAGAGACGTGCCAGTGTCGCATTCATCACTGTTCGGCCTTCCCCAAGTCACATGTGCATCGGCCCAATGTCATCCAGCGGGAGCGGGTGCCTGATGCACCAGTAGATAGACGGGGGCATACGAGACTGGTCGCCGGAGGGGAAGGGGCCTAATCCGCAACCCACATGCTGCTGCGTCTGCTGCTGCCCATGCAGCCTTGCCAATAGAACGGATCGACTTGGTGCGGAGAGGTGTGCCAAAGAAGAAGCAGTAACAGTAAGCACACCGCTGAAAGAGACAGACTGACGCCCAGAGTGTCGCCTCGCCCGTCCGTATTCCAATGACAATGCAAGCCACCTCAAGCGCGAACATGGCCCGAATAGGAAAATTCGGCTCATCACTCGTGAGGTCACGGTCGAGATGCCATGATTGAAAGACGGCCTTGGCGCCAGCCATGAAGCACATGGCCTGCTGCTCCTCAGACATGGTCCTGCGGCCACGATGCGAATGATGGTAGCGGGCATGAGGATGCGGGCGGTAGAGATGGTCCTCAGCACGGCGGTGAAACTTGACAGGTTCGCGGTCACCGAGGGGCGTGCCCTTGATGGGCACGAGGGCGTTGATGGGGAAGCTCTCGGGGTGGCTCGGCAGCGTTGGAGACGGAGTTCTGCCCTCACCATGTTCGACATACCGGCCTGTTCTTTCTCTCCGGACAAGACCATGTTTGCCGCCAGTCGCCGCTCCTGCGAACTGTCCGAAAACCTCTGGCTTCAAGCCTGCGGCGGCAGCTCTCCTTGAATAGTCCATGACTTGGTGAGTCGAAGGTGTCCGCCTTGGCGGCAACGTAGCTCCAATGCTGGTGCATGCTGGCCGTCTTTTCAGCGGTCGGTAGTCTAGAGACACAAGGAGAACCTCGTCATTCCCCGGTCTTCACTGCCTCGAACGTGAACAAGAGCATGGATTCCGTCTGCCGACACCTCAGTAGGTAGTCGAGTCACACTTACGCCGCCTGCAATAGCATAGGGAGTTTTAACTTTATAAGCACAGAAAGTCATCTTATCGTTATTCCCTCGGTCTTACCTAGCTCTACAACCCTAGATCATCGCTACCGACCATCACCCTCCGCGATCACGAGCCTCTATAAAGAAAGCTTAACCTGATATAGATAGAAGGCATCCGGACAACCCGGGGTCTTACAAACCTCCACCACTATCCCCCTCCCTAACCATCTCCTCGTATTTCCAGTCAACCTTTACAAGATCCGTATCGAATAGACTGACGACATCCATGTGCGCGCGCGCTTTGGTGGTCTGTCTGCTCGACATTGCCTAGTGACCGGTACGTTCGGATCCCGACATGACAAGTAGAGGAGGAAAAAAAAAAGTCAGAGAGAGTGCCCACCCCCTCGTCGGCGTTGTTCGCCCGAAGCGAAGGCGAGAGGCATCGGTACATCAATGCGTTGGCTCGCTCTTCTTGGAGGCGGGGAGAGAGGCTGCCTATCGTAGGCCAACTTGATGTCAGAATCCTTTCTGTTCTCCAGGATCGGCGGCATGGAGCGGCAGCTCAAGTCGTTGTTGTCTCGCTCGCTCAACCGCCCGCGACGTCGAGCACAGGTCCCCCGGTGAGCTAGCCAGCCAGCCAGCCAGCCAGCCGACCTCCTTTCAGACATAGGAGGCGGGGCTCCCCGCTCACCCCCACCCTGGTCGAATCTCCATATCTGAGCTTCCCGTCTTGGACCCTGATGTCTTGCTCGGGTAAGACAGTTGCTTTATTGTGCATGTCTCTTTGGATGTGGCTGTTACGACTCTGCCATTCAATCCCCACCCTGTACGCCAAGCTCCATAACCCCCAAAAGTTTAAAAACAATGCCTCCTCCTCCCCCCCCCCCCCCAAGCTGAAACAGTGCCGGTGGAGGGTCGAGGGATGGCGGTGGTATCAGGCGGAAAAGACCGTATTCTCGCCCCAGTGCATACCAGTCTTTGAACTGGGAAAACAAAGTCAACAAAGGAAGGCCCCCCCTCTGACAACAGGACAAACACGAGAAAGAAGAATAGAGTTTCAAGTAGTAAAACACTCCTCGCCAATGCGTGCACATGCCAAGCGTAACACGACGCCATGTGGCTGGCTGATCGTCAGGGTCCTGTTGTGGCACCCAACCTTTTTCAACCTTGTACGAGGTAAGGCTGGCCATGCTGACTTATGTTTTTCCATTCGAGAACAGTGGATCAGACTGCGACAGCAGAGCCGCGCATCGACCAGCGTGACTTCTTGGGCAGTTTCCCGCCGGCGGGCTGCTGCTTGGAGAGGCGCCGTCCTGCCTTGGCCGGAACGGGCGCGGGGATAGGCTCCTCAGGTGCTTTCGCCTGCTGCTTCTCTTGGGGCAGCGTGACTGTGACGGCCTGACTGGCCAGCTCGGGGGCGCGCTGCTCAGTGCGCGAGTCGATCGTCTCGAGCTCTGTGAACCGAGCCACCTTAGATCGGGATGACGCGCGGCGATCTGAATACTTGAGATGCGGCGGCGCCATGGTGGCGGGCGTGTGCGGGGTAGCTTCGGGCGCCTGAGGCGTCGCCACAGGCGTCTTCTCGCCCCAGTCGGGCTCTTGAGGCACGGTGGTCGTCGGTGTTGTTGGTGTAGAGAGGGATACGGAGGACTTGGTGGATAAAGGCGCCGATGTTGGGTTCGAGGAGAAGTAGCCGCCAAAGTTGAATGATGAGAGCGATTGCTGTCCAACAGAAAGGCTCTGGAGACTGGTGGTACTGTTCGACGAGGATGCGCCCGCGGCGGATGGCTCGGTCATGGGCAGCGCGCCGGCAAGCTGCGTCGGCGGGAGTGCAGGAATAGCGGGAATCGAGCTATAGCCCCGTGTGAGGTATGATGGCGGTGGCCTCCGGTCCTCGCCTCTTAGGGATGAAGCGGCGGCAGCGCGAGCGAGAACTGCAGGGTCGCCCCGGTCCGAGGCGTCAGATGCTCGGCGTGAGCTTGGATGCAATCGATGCGCTACAGAGCGGCCGGAAGAAGTGTGGTGTGGCGGTGACATGCCTACTGACGATGTCGTGGTCATTGTGCTGTGGCGGGGGTGAGAAGGCCTCATCTCCAGGTCATCAGAGCTGGTTGAATCGCCGGAGCTGCCAGTGGGAGACCCTGTATAAGCTGTCAGCATACAGTCTTCACGGGATAGCGATGCCCGACTGAGAGTTTCCTCTCTCTCTCTCTCTCACACACACACACACACACACACACACACGCACACACAGACGAGCACAAACGCACCTTTGCTGGATGCAGAGCTCGCCCGCCCTGGTTCGAACATAGGCGGCCTCTCAACCTCTTTGCCCTTGACGGACGGCAGGGCGAGATCAGGTACTGAGTAATTGACGGTGGAGCGGTCTCCGCCCCAGGCAGGCATTGGCGTGACGCCGTTGTAGCTGTAGGCCCTGGGCATGTGTCGCATCGGGTTGGCGTGCACCGAGGGGTAAGTGACGTGGGAAAGGCTGCTGCCGACACGAGGGAGTCCTGCTGGTCCTGGAATTCTTGTGCCTAGGTTGGATGTGGCCATGGCACTCCTTCGTCGGTTCTGCTCGAGAATCTTTGGTCGGTCGTCATGCTTCCAGCTCGAGGGGGCGGCCGCGAGGGCGTCAATGGCGGCGTGCGTAGGAACATGGCGATATGGCACCTGCTTGTGCTCCTCCGAAGCCTTCTCGGCCTCCTTTTTGTTGTGTTCCTTGGCCGACTGCCTCGACTTCTTGAGGCTCGAAAGGATGGACATTGTTGGCGTTGGATGCTTTGGGAGCCGGCGTTGCCGCTGGCGTGAGAACAGACAAAAGATTCGGGGAAGGTAGAGGTGGCGTGTTCGTACTTGAGCTCAAATAGCAGGTCGCTTGTAAGGTGCGGGTGCGGGTCAAACTGTTCTAGGAAGGCCGCACGAACGGGCTGATCTGGATCCCCGGATGCCACAAGCGAAGAGGGGTCGAGAGACCAGGATGCGAAGTGGCCGAAACCTGATTGGGACTGGGTCAGGATGGTCTCCGGGATAGAACGTTGGGGTGAATTGAAATGAGATTGTCAGTGGCAATGTCAGGTCGTCAGGTGAGTGACGGAATAATCAATTCGTGAGGGGAAAGAGGCTGTACGCGTCTGCCCTGGCCGGGTTGTTCTGTTTTTCCAGAACTCCTGGGAAGTTCGGGGTCGTGGGGGGCCAGGGGTGTCGAGAGAGATGCCACACTCTGGGGGATGTGTGTACGACCTTTTTGACCAAGATCTTACCCTTCTACTCGCGAAAGAAGGCAGAACGACAAATTTTTGCTGCACCAGCCACTCTGGCGATTGTCTGACCGAACGAGACAGGACGAGCTATGCAGCGCCCTGCTGTCGTGAAGTCAGAGGCGTCTGACAGACAGAGAGGGAGACCAAAGGCTGCGTCGAAGAGAGTGCCACGGGCGTCGAGGCGTCTTCAAGGTTGCGAATCGAGCATAAGGAAGCAGTACGCTCAAGGTCAAAGGACGGCTGCCGGCAATGCACTTTTCCAGCCTTGTAAGACGTCGTCGTTGTCACAGGCTTGAATCAAAGAATTTTGAGAAGAGGTGAATCATAGGCAGGCGTCCCAGAACTGCGTGCTCTTTCCTTTAAGACGGGGAGGATTTAAAAGGCTTGGAGAGGGCATAGGGGGGTAGGGGGGTGGCAGGAGACGCACATTGGGGGCGTGTGGGTGAGCCAGGTGGTGAGCTGTAAAAGAGAGCAAGGCAAGGCACATCACCTCTAGGAAGGGTGGGTGGTAGAGGACTCGGACCTGGATGATAGCAGGGGTGTCTGTCGGGCTGCGGATGCGCCTATGCAGCAGCCAAGCCGCCTTGCAAAATGCTGGTGCATGGCTTCCATTATCTCCGCTTGGCAAAAGAGATGGACAGACCGGGGCTCGGGTCAAGGCCCCCTCCCCCCTTTCTCTGGTCTATCTCGTAATGATGGATGCAAGTGCCGTCTGGTTGGCCCATTGAGGACAGAAAAGGACGCCGACAGTAGGCTGCGCCGTGCGGCGTGCGAGACTGTGAGGTACGAGCAGTTAGGAAGCAGGGAAGTTGGTGAGCTTGCAATATGGCCCATGAAGCTCGTTCCCACCGCCGGAGACGGTGCCGATCCTTCTTGTTGCAGATCCTTTTCCCTCCCGGACGGATTCCTGGATCGCAGATTTCACCATGCTGGCTCTGTGCCTGGCATGCATATTGCGACACGGGTCAAACCCGTGCTCACCTGGTTGGTGATCGGCAGGAGGATCGCAAACAACGAGGGCGACGACGTTATTATCGCGACGGCACGGACGGCAACCTTGCATCCTCACAAGCTCTGACGATGCTCCATTCACGAGCCATGATCCTGCTTCTTTCCAGCCTGCAGCATTCGCGTCAGCGCCGTCGACAATGGTCGCAAAGGAGCAGCAGCCAACTTTCTTGCTCCTCCCCAAAATGGCCCTCGTATTCCATCCCAAGCCAGGCACGGCACGGCACGGATAGCGCTCATGTACGTTACCTGCAGGGATGCGTGGCCGAGGGCGGCATGACGGCCAGCCAACGACGTCCTGGACACAATACTGAGGACAGGCGGACGGGCGCCCAGGGTCGGACTGACCACGGGCGGCATGGCGCTAGCTTCCCAGGAACCCAGAACCCGTCGCTCCCCGTGTCGATGGAAGCCCGTCATGGTGTCGCTCCAGCCGCACCGGACCGCCATCGTCCGCTTCAGGCTTCTGGTTTTCAGGGGGATGGAACCCTGTAGCGCATCCTTTAGAGGAGCTCTCACGGTGCCCGAGCAACAA